CCAGGTTTCAGATCTCCGAGGACACCGGACGGAACCCGGCAGCTCCCTCTGGGGGAGCGAACGTGCCCTTCGTGCCCTTCCTACTGCACAAGCCGCACACCCCGAGCGGGCGGATCCCGCCCCAGGGGCTCGGCGCCTCGGCCAGCGCCTGGGCCCGAGGGGCTGGCGAGCGGGGCACAGAGCGTCCTGTCCCACGTCCTGTCCCATGTCCTGTCCCGCGGCGGGGAGGGCAGGGCGGGCTGTTGCCGTCGGGAGCAGCTGGGGGGAACCGGGGTGGAGGCATCTGGGAGGAGGCACGCCCAGAACGAAGGGATCTGGGGAGGGCCGGGGTCTTCTATGGGAGCAGATGAGGGTGGGAGCTGGCCCTTCCACACTTTCAGTAACGGATGGCACCGTGTGGTTTAGCAATTTATACTCCGCCGGGCTCCGCGGCATCTGTGATGGCGCCTCCTGCTGCCCTCAGGGCAGTAAAGCGGGAGGAGGGCAGGGTGTTTCGAGGATAATATGCCTCTGTTTCAGTTAGATTTTTGTGGGAAGGTTTTTAAAATCTAGACAAAATAAAGTAGCATTTTCTTTCACAATCAATCAATCAATCAATCAGACAGAGAAAGACAAATACTGTATGATATCACTTACATATGGAATCTAAAAAAAGCCAAAATCAGAGAAACAGAAAGTAGAATGATGGTTACCACAGATTGCAGGGTGGGGGAAATGAGATGTTAGTCCAAGGGTACAAAGTTACAAGATTATAAATTATAAGATTAACAAACTCTGGAGATATAATGTATAGCATGATTGTTATAGCTAATAACACTATATTATATATACTTGAGTGTTGCTTACAGAGATCTTAAGTGTCCTCACTACAAAAAAGAAATGGTAATTATATGACAGATTGGAGGTTTAGCTATGGTGGTAATCACTTTGCAACACATAAATCTATCTAATCAACATATTGTTCACCTTAAACTTACACAATGTTATATGTCAATTATATCTCAAAGTGGGGGGAGGGGAAGAATTTTCCTTCAGCAACTATTTGCCTATCCTAGAAAACAATTTGTACAGAAAAAGCAAGATATATAGGATATCTGCTTGATGCTTTCCTTTATTCATCAATTTTTAGAACAATAAGTTGGTGCTCTAGCAAATTCCAAAAGTGACAAATGAGATTTTAAAAAAGATACCATTAATGAACTGTAAATTTTAATGTAGTTGATGAGTATGGAGCCAGTCATAATACTTTTTGATGCCCAAGTTGTTGCATCTCTGGCCAGGGGAACCTGCTGCAGTTTCTATTACTATATAACAGAACACCCTAAAATGTAACGGGTTAAAATAACACACAAACAAAAAAAGACCACTCTGAATTCAGTGTGCAAAATATTGGCTCCCACCTAGTCCCATGTAAGAACAAGAGTTAACCTTGTCCCAAACCTGGGACATTTAATTTGAGATAAAATAAACATGGCTTGGATTTCCGGAGGATTCCATTAGCAACAGAGATATCTCCCATAGCATCCGAGTTCAAGAACATAAAACAAGAACATTATATATTTGAAATTTTCAACTTACCTGATATAAATAATCTTCAAATACAAAATAATAATCATCATTGCTTGCCGTCAACTTCACATCCTAGAATGAAAAGTAGAGACTGTTGAAAAGAACCTAAATAAATATGTCTATAATATGAAGGCATTAATACAATATCTAGAAAGAATACTAAAGTGATTTTACTACTGTATGACTATAAACTTCTCCATTAAATTTTATCACTGCTCTAAATTTACTTGACTAATATAGTATGTGACACATTATTTTACATCAAATTGCTGACACTTTTTTAGGTTTCATTAGTAATTCCTTAGTATTTATTTCAGTTCTATCTTCTTTTAACTTAATATTTAGGTATCTTAAAGGTTGGAAAAAGAGATGTAATCATGACACCCAGAAGTAACCATAACCATCTGGCCCCAAATTGCTCTTCCCATCTCACCCTCCACTGTTCAGCCCACATTCTTGCCGTATCCTCAAAATACCAAAAATCTGCCACACCTTTGTAATTATTCACTTGCAAGGCATCACTTATTACCAAACAAACAAACAAACAAATAAGACAACATTTATCTTTAAGAAGCCTACAATCTCATCAGCAAGAAAACAAAGAGAGTAGAAATAAGGGAACAATTACAAAGAAGTATTGAAGAAATCCCTAATAATACTGGTCAGTCTACAAAATTCAACTGAGCTGCTGAGCAAAGCAGCAAAAAGGAGGGGATGAAATGATGCTGCAGGAGTCTGACTGTGTGCTAAGTCTGCAAAAACTTAAAGACACAGGCTAGGAGAAAGGGAAGGGGCCAGCCTTCTAGCCAGAAGACAAGAGGGCAGAGGTGGAGGTCATGCACTCTCAGCAGGGACGACACTGCCTCTCAGCAGGTGCGAACTGGTTCCTGGGGGCCAAACATTTTACATACTACCATGGCTTGCGGACCTCCAAAGCTCAGCCCTATCCAACAAAATCTTTTCTTTGGTATTTAATTTTTATATTGGAGAAAAATTAGTTATCTTTAGGGGCTACTAAAAAGGGAAAGGTTGGAAACACTGGTATAAACTGTCAGGTCATAGTAAGTGATGGAGAGCTGTAGACGATGCGGATGACACGCAAGTTTGTGAAACAAACACAGCCCAGGGAGAACCACTTAGTAATTTAGCTCAGGGAGGGCTTGACGATGTTCTATATTTAGTATTGCCTTGTTCCATTCATTCCTTTAACTACTAAAATAATTGACTTTATTTTCAGTTAAATTAAAAATGAGTCTTTGCCAAAGGGAGCTGTAATGAAACTTCAAATAATTTTTTAAAATGCTCATTCCCTCAAGGACTGATTTTAATAATGTTTGGAGTTGTTCCAACAGGATCAGCAGAGCTCAACTAACACAAATTGGGAATAATTGGAGACAGATTTCTTCCTAGAAACACTCATGTTGTGGACAGTCAGGACTGAGTCTACCAAAATTCACCTTCGATTCTTCACGCAAATGGTTTACCTTTCTCACAGCCGATTTTCTTACTGATCCAACTGAAATTCACATTGGCAGGAAAGAGAACTCTCGTGCTAGCGCTCCCTGATTTCCTGGACTTCTCTTGTGAGTCTTCTCTCATTTGAACAGGAAAGGGGTTGAAGGTCTTAAAGCCATAAGACCTCCCAGGCCGTTGCTAAAATAATCGTCTGAGCACAACCATAACCTCAAAGTTAAGAGTAGCATCTATGATGCAAATCTGTGTAAAAACTTTGAGAGTCAAGGCTCTTCATCAAAAGACTGTATCCCCTTAGCTCTGCTTGTCTTTGCTTCCTGTAGAGCACAGTGCTTGAAAGTATGGTTGGGAAGTCACATTGCCATTATTCAAATCTTGGCTTTGCTGCTTAATGAGTAAATTTAAACAAGTTTCTTTAATCTTTCTTTACTTCAGTTCCCTCATCTGTAAAATGCTAAAAATATTAGTACTTTCTGTCTTGTTATAACACGTACCAATACGTGGCTGGTGAGTAAGGGAATGATGTCAGTATAATTGGGAAATGGTGTTGGTTCATATGCAATTTTTCTTTGAAGAGGGGGAGCCAAAGCAGCAGGAGGAGCATTATATCAGGAAAGGAAAAAGCCTTGTCTCGGGTGCTGCCCAGCATGATCCCTCTAACTGTGGTTAAGAAAGTGAAAGCTGATGGCTGCCCTGGGCGCCCCTCTCCAGAAAGGCACACCCAGCCTTGCACTTCTTTGTTGCTTTACTTCCTCTCATGCCCACCTTAGCAGCAGCCCCAGCAGCTCAGCCTACCACTGCTATCTGCATTATCTTAGCATTTCTACTATATTATTTTTGTACATTTTTAATAGCTCCTGCACGAGCAGCCTGTCTGAGCTATCCAATTCATCTCTTAAGCTACCGATTATTGTCTTTGTTAGTACTCTGGTTATAAACTGCAAAAGCTACCCACCCCTATTTTCCCATAAGCTCTGTTATTTTTAATGCATGATTTTGTAGAAGGCAATTGGTCCCTCAGAAAAAAAATACATTTATAGCCTACATGCTGGTATCTGTTACTCTTAAGATAGTTGTCAGGATCAAATGACAATCTATAAAGAGTTTGGAATACTGGATGGCACACAGCACGTAGTCATTAAATGCTGGTAGTTGTCATGTTGTCCCAGACAAATCTTCAGGTCCTCAACGTGCAATCTCTCCCCCATTTCTGAGACCTGAAATAATATACCCTTCTCCTCTATCTTACAAGTTCTAAATTTAAAATCCAAGTGTTTTAAATAGCCTAATTATTAACTCAGAATCAGTCATACCCTATCTCATGCTTACAGCACCTACATCTCAACTTCATATCATATACCTGGAGACAAGAACTCAATGTATCCCTCTCATAACACTTGAGATGTGCTTAACCATCTGTCTAGAAACTAAAATAAATAAAAAATAAAAAATCACTTCAATACAAGAGAATAAACAAGTAGATCCTAAAGAATAGATAAATAAGATAAAAATATTATAGTCTGATATTTCTTTCAGTTGCTTTTTTAGTTTGTGTGGTAAACTTGAATTTATAAGGATAAGAAGTGCTTATCATTCTCTTAATCAAAAAAATGGAAGGACCAGGAAAGGATCATGAGGGCAGCTTCAAAGGGAAAGGAGATAACATTGGACGGAGATGGCAAAATTTGAAGGTCAACCTTAACTTTATAATGATCACTTAAAATTATTTTTCAAGGTTAATATGTATCATTATACATAGTGCAGGCCCTGCATGTTAAAGACTCAAAAAAATTTTTAATGATAATAATAAAACGAAAAAAACTATGAAAACTTCTACTTACTTTATAAATTAGACTGTCCACCAAAAGGTCATGTTGTATCACATTGGTCTTAAGCTGCTCATAATATAAGATATCCTAGAGTTAAAAATAAAACAAAAAGTTAAAGATCAGTCACGTTTATAAAGTCAGCTTCATACTTTAATAAATAATAATCATTAATAGTATTATTAACACTAAGAGGCGAGGGACTTTATTTTCTTCACAACTACATTTTCCATGCCTGGCCAACACTAGATACTCAATAAATATACGTAATCCTGTCACCTAGGATAAGATCTGGAAACTGATGGGTTATTCACTCAATGTTTGTTAAACTGGTTAACTATAATTTAACTTTAATAGCAAATACAGTATTTACTAAGTAATTACTAGGTACCAGGAACTATTATTTACCTGCTATACATGAGTTAACTCATTTAATTCCATGCCAACAAAATAAAATACTTCCCATTTACATTTGAGAAACTGAGGCCGAGAGGAAAAAAGTAACTTGCTATTGTTGTTGGCCACAAAGGCAGTAATATTTGATACCAGGAAACCTGTTCCTAGAACCTATACAAAAACCAGAAAAAATACTCTACACTGCCTTTCTAATACCTAAGTTATTATAAAATAAAAAGCTTAAACATACTAAATCATGCCTGGTAGTAAAAACAATCATAAAGCATATGAAAGTCAGTTTTTTATATTAGAATATGGTCCCATATTTTTTTTTACAGACTTGTCATTTTGCATTTAGAAAATTAAGATGAGTATTAGCTCCCAAGATACAAGTGTAAAAAATGTTTTCTTCATTATATAAACAATCATTACTTAGGATTATTACTTTTATTCTAGGGTGACATTTCTGGAAAAATTCTTAATTTGTTTTTGATATGGCAGTAGATAGTTCTTCTGCAAAGAGATAGGATTTGTTAATCTAGCTCCTGACCAATGAAGGTGGTAGGTCATCTACACTACACAGATCAGGACAAGAGTTACAACCACTTCTACAAGAGTTGATACACTCACAAAAAATGCCCAACACACACTCAGATCTATTTTGTAAACTGTTACTTCTAAAGTATCACCATGCAAAATTGGTAATATCATTTGGTCTAAAACTGCTCTGAAATGAATCAAAAGCTTTATTCTTTTAAAAAGGAAGCAAGTTATTTTGTGCAGTGTTGTTCACAGAGATAGATTTAAAACACATACACAAATAAATAAATAACACACACACATGCATGTATGCATGCATACATAAATTACAAAGGTTAGAAGTGTAGTTTTTATAATGATAATATTTGACTTCTTAAAAACTGAATTATTATCATAATTAATTTATGTAATTATATGCAATATGTAATTATTATTATTACTACCATTAATGGTGACCATTGATGTCAGGCACTGTCTTCAAAGACTCACATTATTTAATTCTCCCAATCACTCTGTGATATATTATTACTTATATTTAAGTATGGGTAAATTGAGATTTGAAGAAATTTAAGTAACTCACTCAATGACATTTTTCAAGTAAGTTGGGAGAGCTAGGAGTTGAAAGCAGGTCTATATGATTCTAAAACCCATGTTTTTAACCACTACACTAGGGAACAATTAGTTTGCTATTTATTAAAATATTTAAATGGGTGACTTATATGATTCATGAGCTTAAGAAAAAAAATCCCCTCTAAAAATATTTCAAAAACAATCAATGTCTTACATAATTTTTCTTTATTGAATCTATTACTTGTCTGTTGGTGATTTCCCTTCATATTCATTACATTTCCTAAAATAAAATGTTCTTACACTTAGAAAAATAATATTCTCACATAATCTGTCAATTTTTAGAACCATAAAAATAATACATGTTTCAAAAGTAACAGACGATAGACAGGTAAAGGCCTGAGGTGGGGTGGGAGATGGGTGGAAGGGGGCAAAGGAGGGAAAATTGGGGACATCTATAATAGTCCCAACAATAACATTTTTAAAAAATTAACTGTAGGGACAAAGTACTCATTTACTTTGCCTGCCTTTATTTCTTCCTATTCTAGCATCCCGTCTCTAACACACATCATGATCTAAACTGGCAGACTCCACTTCTTAAATTCCACTTATTTTTCTGTTGTATGTATAAAGTACACTAATTATTAATAAAAACTTCTCTGTTAAGCACAGTGATTAAATTCTGTTAATCTTGTCATAAAACTCAAAACTACAGTGATTTTTAAAAACAAAAACGTGGGTAAATATTAGACTGAAAAACAAAAGTATTTCCATTTTGCATAACTGGTCTTTAAAAATGAAACACCAATGATTCACATTTGGCTTCTCCTTTCTCTTCTTACCTCAGGTTGATTGGAAATATTCAAAATGAGAGCCCACAGCTCAGCTCTCAGCGCTGTGGGGCTTCCTTGTCTGATATACTGCTGAGCAGCGGCACTATCTTGTTCTGCTAGAACTGGTGAGAGTATATTAAAACCTCATTAGAAATTTCATAATTTAAGAAATAACACTGGAATCTTTCATTAAAAACCTTCTGGGAAGCCAACATTTCATCTTTAGTTCTAACATATTTGCATCATATCATGAGCACCTCCCTTTACTCTCTGCATTTTGGTGTGGCCTTACTTATAGCCCTACACGTTTTAAAAGTCTTCAGCTGCCCCACCTCCTACCTTGCCTGGTGAAAGTCTTTAATGTAGTTACCTTGAGGTAATTTTTCTTTAACTATAGCTCCATGGATCTGAAACTAGTGCTGTATACACATAATAATTTTTGGATTCCATGATCAAGTAAAGTCATATAGACAGAAACCCTAAATTTCTTATGCCTTTCTACTAAGTCATGAATGTTCTAGTATTTGGAGTTAGTATGGTATTTGAAATATTTAGTAAGAATGATGAAGGATGTATGATAACTATTCTATTAGGTGACTTTTTAGCTATCTGCCAACAACAACAAAAAAGAGGGATTTTTAAAAGAAAACAAAAAATATCTTCTAACCTTTTAAGAAGGCCAAAATTTATCTGGAAGCAGCCAAGTTCACAAAATCGATATATTATACTTTTGCTTTCATTTTCATTTTTGTTTTATTTAATGAAAGTAGCAGCTATTAAGTCTAGAAATAAAGCCTCCCCATAAAATAATACAAAACAAACAAACAAAGAAACAGATAACTGTTGACATTTGTCTAATAGTACTGTTTTCTTAGATTTTCGTCTTAAAAGTAAAGGGTAAAAATCTTATACACTAAATGAAAATGGCAAAACCAAACAAAACAGAGTAATGAAAAAAATTTTTTTAAATTTGCAACTGTGTTTAATAAAAACATCAAGTCATACAAATGAAGTTTTAAAAATAAATATGATTTTGAAAAATTATACTAGGGAGTTTAGAATATGACAATATAATTGCCATAGAAGGTTTATTCTGACACAAAGACTTATTTGTACTTCATATTTCAAAGATAAAACAGGATTTACAAAAACAAAGAAAAAAAATCTTCAGAAGATGAGAAACATTACTTCCCAGAACACTAGGCGCCGCTTCAGTTATTAAGTCTCAGAATTACGAACAGTCCTCGGGAAGTATGATGGTTACATTTTCTCCTGATGCCGGAGCATATTCCCATTAACACTAATGGGAAGTGTGTGGGCGCATCAAAGAGAGAACCTGCCTCTTTGATTTTGAAATTAAATTCTCCTGCTGAATGGGTTAAGCTAACATCCTTGAAGAATGTGTGTCCGCATTTATTTCCTTTTTAGTGAACCATCTGTGCATGACTTTATCTGACATTTTATTGATGAAACCAAAATGATGCAGCTCCCCTCCTTAGAATGATTCTCATTATAATTTCTATGCAGTTAAATATTATTCCTTTTTAGGTTTTTAACTTTCCAGAGAGTAAATTTCAGTTGGGTGTATTTGATACAGATATTTACTTAATTAGGACTGTCTCATTTTCAGAAATTATGATAAATATAATCAAAAGCTTACCTTTTTGCCCAATACGTACATGCTCATTTTCAAAAAGTTCTAAAAATAAAAGAAAATTAAATTATTAAACATAAATATGATCAACCATATTTAGAACAATAACAGGTATATTTTTTCTGGTATTGACATTTAAAATTATTTTTAAAGCTGATGTCTCTATAGAAAAGTATAAGAGTATTTATATTTATATTTATATGCATAAAATCCTCTTTTTTAAGTTGTTTAAAGTTTGTAGAAATTTAAAAAGTACATTTAGTCAGAAGAAAAAATTGACAAACTGATTTTCCTTTGTTAAAATAAAACAGACTATCTTCTCAAAACACAAAAATGTTTCTGCCCATTCATCTTTGACTTTACCCTAAAAAAGCAAAATTCTGGGTGATTGCCAGAGGTTGAGGTGGGGGCAAAATGGGCAAATGGAGTCAAAAGGTAAAAATGTCCAGATATAGAAAAAGTCAGTCGTGGGATATAATGTACAGCATGGTGACTGTAGTTAATATTGTACTGCATACTTGAAAATTGCTAAGAGATTAAATCTTAAAAGTTATAACAAGAAAAAAATTCTGTAACTACATATGGTAAAGGATGTTAACTACACTTATTGTGGTGATCATTCTGCAATATATACTAATATCGAACCATTGTGTTATACGCTTGAAACTAATGTAATGTTGTATATCAATTATAAAACCATGTTGACAGCTTCATTTGCAAGTCCTACTTCTACTCTAATCTACCATTAAAGCCAACCTAATTTTAAAAGCCTTAATATTATATAGGTAAAATTCCACTACACAATGCCATTTAAAAAGATTATATGAAAGAAGCAAAGATTTGTTGTTGCAGTACCAATCCATAAAAAAAGACTCATAAACTAGACCAAATTAAAATTTAAAAACTTCTGTTCATTAAAAGACACCACTGAAAGTAAAAAGGTAAGTCACAGAATGGGAAAATGTATTTGCAGTACATATATCCTATAAAGAACTTGGACCCAGAAGACATAAAGAACTGGTAGGTCAACATAAAAAGACAGCTGACACAAATAGGCAAAAGATCTGAACAGGTTCTTTACAAAAGGCTATGCAAAAGACCAATAAACATGAAAAGCTGCCCAACCATATTAGTCACCAGAGAAATGCCACTAAACCCATATGGAATACACGTCCATTACAACGGCTAAAATGAAAAAGACTGACAGCTCTCAGTGCAAAGGAAGTTGGAGCAAATGAACTTCTCGTACGAAAGTAACGGGAGTGAAAATTAGTGCCACCACCTTGAGAGACGATTTGGCAACACTTACTGGCACTGCCAATATGCATACCCAACGGCAATGAGCAATGCAGTCTCGGTATACACCCTAAAGTGCATGTATGTGCACCCAGAGCCACACACAAGAGCATTCACAGCAGCACTACTGATGATAACTGAAGAGTGGGAGCAACTCAAAGGACCAAGAGTAGGATGGATCCCTAGTGGCATCGTCACACAATTCACACAGCAAGGAGAATGAATGGTACACAACTGCACACAATAGAAATGAGTACATACTGTGTGAGTCCATATCTGTAAAGTACAGAACAGGCAAGACTAACCTGTAACGTTGGAAGCCAGGATGGCTGTCACCCACGGCAGGAAGGGGTGGGGGTGGGAGAGTCTGAGAGGGTGCCTAAGGGGCTTGGGGATGCTGGTAATCTTTTTTCTTGATCTGGTTGGAGGTTCCACTGATCTGTATATTTATGATTTGTGTCCTTTTCTGTATGTATGTCATACTTCTATGAAAGGTATTTAAAAATTAGAGCAAAACAAAAAAGGGCCATAAAACCATGACGGGGAGAACTTTTAGGTCTTCTCCCATCCCCAAGAAGAGTCAGTTCCTCAGCTTCCTTTCTCCCTCTTTCTCCCCACCATTTGAGAAAGGAGGAGCTGCTGATTGGATTTGTTAGATTCTATAACAGCAATTAGTAATCCTTTTTAAAAATAGTTTTGACATTATTTAATATAATTACCAAAAACAGCATTTCAGATTTACTATAGTTAAAGAACAGAAGTAGACCTAAGTTCACCTAAGTCAAATGATGATATAAATAGTGAGGAAAACACCAAGTAAAATTAATGGTTGTAAAAGTATAGTAATAACATCAACCAAAATAGTAATGTAAAAATTCTTCTTACAGACTACTTACAATATTTGATTCAAATGAAGAGTTCCAAAAAATTCCCTTGTATTAAAATAAAGAGATACATGAAGCATATTTAACCTATGCTTTAAAATTAATTGGCCAAATTAAAAACTATTTAAATAAAAGGCAATACATTAAATTAAATTTATTATTTGTGGTACATCAGAATTTATTATTTGTAGAATATCGATATAAATAACAAATAATAAACTTCTGAATATGCACCAAGGACAGAATTCAAGTCATCTGGATGTAAATCATAAGAAATTTGTGAATGATTGAAATGATATGGGTGGGCCAACATGCAACATTTTAAAGAGTAAAACTAGAGCTATCTAATAAATAATTAGACAAAGTATTAGTTTTTATGTGCCAAACATAATCATTTAACACATCAGCTATTCTCTAATTTTTATTCATTATTTCTTTTATATTCATTGTGTGTGTGTTTTCAAATTTAGAACTTTATACCATATATCTTATTGCACTCTAAATGCAGTAATAAAATTATATTAAGTTCACTGATATTTTCTTTTGTGTTACTTTAGAGAAAGACTTCTCTGACTATATCATGCCTTTGTATTAATTGCATTTTCAATTTATTAATCTTTAGGATTGTTATATTAAGAAAGTTTGATTTTAAAAGCTAAATAATCACAAATGAGAATAAGTTAAACAAGCAGGAAAAAAACAAAAATGGAGGCCTGATCTAATACATGTTTTTACTTGTCTTAAAGTTTTACTTCCTGTTTCTGGTTTTTATTGCTTAAAGCTTCTTCGGTTATTCTTCTTCTTAACCTTTTCTAATAAATGGGATCACTGTGTGCTAAAGGTCTTGAACGCACATGTGACTCTCTGGATACGTAGAGCCTGGACTCCCTGGCCACGTGGACACTGGATTCTCTCTTGAGCAGAATGCTCATGTCCAGGCACTCAGGAGTGGCCTGCTGGTGTGAGATCTGGTCATAGAGGGACAGGGAGACCTGTCCCGGGCTGAGATTTTCTAGAAAGCCTCTTCTGTGATGTCCAGGTTTAGCCCAGCTAAATGTAAAATGGTGCTGTACTTCTAGATTCCATTTGTTAATATTCAATGTTAGGTACTTTTTAGAAAGCTGGTTTTACCAAGTAGAATATCTGAACCAGAGTACCCTATCCTTTTAGTTTATTTTGGCTCTAACGTAATTATTTGAGCAGATTATACAATGACCAAGTAACATGTTTGGGGTCCCTCACAATGTATCATTTTCTATCGCTAAACTATTTGAACATATTTATTTCAAAGACTGCATGTAAATGATAATACCAGTTTCACTTTAATTAGCTATGATTGCTGAGACTTAGTAACTACAGGATCAAAAGTTGTCAGCCAATTCTTGTCTCTTATAAAAGTGGATGATCTACCAGGTGATAAAAGTGTTTTATCACTGAAAGTAGTATGAAATAAAAATAAAAAGACTTCCTTACAGAATTTAACTATTTGGTTATGTGAAATACAATAATTTTGCTTTCCAAGGACCATTCTCTGGTCCAAGGATAAGAAACCCAAGGAAGTCAGGACCAGAATTTCCCATCTGTAATCTGTGTTTCTCAAAGAATGCTCCTCGGACCATTACGTTAACAGATGCATCTGTTAGACATTGACCGGAAAAAAGGTTCTCTGGTAAAATGTGATTAGGGGATGCTAAGATAAAAGTTTACTAAGGACTTCTCACAGTCTTTAAGATAGTAACACACACTGAAACTGTATATCTTAAAAAGGTATGTTTCCCAAACCTTATTTGACAAGATCTTTTTCACAGGGCCTATGGTGAATGCCTCATGGCACACACTCAGGAAATACTGTGCCAAATGAAGATGCTTCATTCTTTCAGAAATAACAGCTTGAGAAAATGTCTATTTAGCAGAACCCCTATCTGATAAGATTCATTATTATGTATATTCAGACAATAATATCAGAAATATGAGCCCCCTTTTTCATGAAAGAATGATGATTCTGCTCACCCTTTTGCCTCTTAGCATGGGTCTTATGAAGGTTTCCACAGTGAGTGTGAATAAATGCCTATTCATGAAGCTTGTAGGAATAATAAATGTCTGATTTTTTAATTATTGTTAAATAAGGATTCTATATTACAATGGTAAAGACTCTTTTCCTGACTCTTACATAAAAGCTGGTAAGTCAGTAAGTGAGAAATGTACTTCAAATATAACAACTGAATAACTGTAGGGGTAAAACATAGATAATACAGGTTTTTAAAGATGAGTAGGAAGTGGGAATAACACTATGTAAAATATGATTGTCTAACCACTAAGCTGTATACCTGAAATCAATATATAATGAAAAATAAATTAATCATATTTTTTAAAATATGAGTAGGAAGGATATAGTTCCTTTAAGTCACACTTAAACTTAATCCTAAATATGAAACTTGCCTCTAGCCAAATACAAGTATTAGCAGTATTTTCAAAACAGGTAGCGCTGTGTTTCCAATTTAACCAAAGCCGCAGAGAGACTAACAAAAAGTATGTTTCACTCAGGCAAAAGCAGTTCTATATGACATCATTCTTCTTCCAGGTGATACTGCAGCCTCACTATTCTCAAGACAGGCGAAAACCTCAGGACTATACCACCAAAAGCAATCTCATTGGATGAACACTAATTCAACTCAATTTTCGGCAGTCCTGCTTTGAAGAGTCAAAAGAGCAACAATAACCGCATCAACTAAAGGGATTTTCTACTTCTTCCAGGCCGACTTACGCGCTCTCCCCTCTGCTCCAACGTCCCCTTGTATATAATAATAGCCAATGCCACGTGATTCTTATCTGAATCTTACTTTATACTATATCTTCCCTAAAAACAAACATTATGTCATATCTATGTATTTACTGGTCACTGGCCCCTATCAGGATCTCACACACATTTGTTGTATGAGTGACTCAAAGAAGAACTATACTCTGAATTAAGGGGAAAAATTAGGTTTTCTGAAGCATAACTATGATAAGGTTTAGAATAGTTTTAAACAATTCTTTAGGATTTTTTTCAAAAGTAAAAAACATAAATATCATTCAAGGTTATATTACTATTTCTTTTGCTTTTTGTTAGTTATATATGGTTATCACTAGCCATGAACAGAAGTATAAGGTATCTGTCTCAGTCTGTTCAAGCTACTATAACAAAACCACCACAAACTAGTCAGCTTATAAATAACAGAAAACTATTCCTCACAGTTCTGGAGGCTAGAAGTCCAAGATCAGGGTGCCAGTAAAGTCGGGTTCTGGCGAGGACCCTCTTCCACGTTGTAGACTACCGACTTGTCGCTGTGGAAGAGGCTGGGGAGCTCTGCTGCACATTTTTTATAGACACCAATTCCCATTCAGGAGGTGAGACTGCTTAGTTTTGTGACTTTAGGCAAGTTATTTAACACCCGCACTTCTTCAACTCTAAAATGGTGGTATTACTTCTATCTTACATCATAGAAAGATTAAAACCACAATGCAATACTACTGTTTACCACCAGAATGGCTAAGACAAAGAAGATGGAATACACCCAGCATTACCAGCACAGAGAGCAACCACTGTTCTCACGTATTGTTGGAGGACGTGTAAACTGGTGCTGCCACTTTAAAAAACTCTTTGGCAGTTATCTACTGAAGCTGAATTTATGCCAACCCTAGGACCAAGAAATTGCATCCCCAGGTGTACACTCAACATGGATTCACCAAAAGACAGACATTAGAATGTTCACAGCAGTTTTACTGTAATAGCCCCACACCTGAAAGTTCCCAAATACCCACCAACAGTAGAAGGGATAAATAAAAGTGTGTGGTAGGTTGATACAATAGACACTATAATGCAAAAAGCCCAAAATATTTATAAATACACAGAGCGATATGGCTGAATCTCACAAACACAATAGTGAACAAAAGAAGCCAAACATCAAAGAGTGCATACTGTATTTTTTAATTCATATAAAGTTCAAGACCTGGCAAAGCTAATCTACGCTGGGAGGATCAGAATAGTGGCTATCTCTGACGTGGGGGACAGAGACTGAAAGAGGCCAAGAGGAGGCCTCAATTTACTAATCTGTATTTATCCAATTAACAAAAATGCATCAAGCCACTGTCTTACAATATACACTTTCCCAAAAGTATTAAAAACTAGTCAGGTTTTAAAAGGGTTAATAAACACACCTTGTAGATTGCTGAGAGATTAAAATGAGATAATACACATATAGTACCTCATACACATATACTCTATGCTCAATAACTGCTCATTATTATGTTTATTATTATTAAGAATAATAAATAGCCAACTTCCTTATTTTATAGAGGAAGAAACAAGTACAGAGATGTAAAGTGACTTGTCCAAGATACAAAGCTAGCCACTGGTAGATGGGGGTCTAGAACAATTCCCTGACACCCATCTAGTATTATTTCCACTACAATAATAGGTCTCCTGTATTTTAAGTCAATTTTTATTTCCTTTTTATTATAGATAAATATCAATCTGGTCTTTTATAAGAAACACATTGTTTTTATGCACAAAAAGAGAAAAGTTAGGGAAATTTTCTGAATGATTAAGGTTTTTAAAGATATTAATTTTAAAACCTAAGTTTATTCAAGGTAGAATGTCCATGTTTGTTTAATTTGGTGATGTGAAAAATAATAAAAATAGTGATGGCCAGTAAAGGGAAATATGAGTGCTGCCAATGAAGGTTTTGCCAACAAAATGATTTATGTATGTCCAATGACTTTTCAAAATTATTATAAAGATCTTCAAATAAAAAGCAAGATCTAGTTGCACTCTAATAATCACAATATACTAAATTCTATTCAATACTTAAGAGCAACCAAGGGGAGGCAAAAGGCATGCTTTGTTTTCACATATAAAAAGGTTACTAGATTAATTTGGAAACGACGAGATAAACCTTTACGTCGCTCTCATTTATCACTGATTATATATGTCATATGGGAGAAATACTAACCAGGAGGCACTTGTGTAGAGTCATCTATACCTAGTTGTCCTGTAGTTAAGCCGAGTTCTACAAATAATTCTTTCTGAAAAATAACACACACAGAATTAACATAACATCTTAGACTTTGCTACATGTGAAAAAAAATCATCTTCACCTAAATATCATAGTAAATAAAAATCACAATATAAAACAAATCTTTGCTTCCTTCAAATGCCTAAAGGAGAAAACAGTAATGCACTATTTCAACATTAGGGGAAGAACAGCCCTAATTTCTACTATGAGTATTGCGATGTAACATTTACATTTCTTATTTTCATGTGAAAGAAACATGAAAAGATAAAAGCTTTTAGGGAAAATTAATATATAATGGGAAAAGAAACTTAAAGACACAATATTTCTCTAAATGAGAGACTTTAGTAGTATTGTTCTTTCTTCTAATTTCTTCTACCTAAGAAAAAATTTTACTTTGATGCCTTATGACCAATATGGGTGATGCCATTGTTTTAAAAACTATTTTTTAAAATAGTTCTTATTTTTTTGCCTTTTTAGGTAATAGGCTAACCAATAAAGTAAGAAATGAATTAACCTTTGAGGAAAGAACTATTAACATTCAAATATTTTCTGAAATATACACACTATATGTAACAATTGTCAATTTTATCTTCTAAAATCATTGTCCAAAACTACCAATACAATTCTGTATCTGTGCTTTCTATGATACTGTACTTCACTCAGCTCTTAATCAACTAAACACTGAAAATATCCAAAACAACTTAAATTAATTTTTAAGTAAAATTAGACTATCAAGTGCTCTGCTAAAATAAGAATAAATTAGATTTATTCTCCAGACTTCCTCTACTTATCTAGTAATGTCTAGGGAGAGCAATCATGTTTGTCCGTTATTTTTAAAATAAATAACTATCCCATGCTATTTGTATTATTTTTCTTCCCTAAGTAATTAAATATTTCTATTAATATTTAATTGCTCCAGTGTTTTGTTACTATTTAATTGCTAAAACCAAACTTCCTTCTCCTTTAAAAACTAAAATTAATTTTAATCCTTCCCAATTATCTATTATTATTTAAGTTTGTAATTTATTAATGTCCCTCACAAGACAGTTATTGAGCCTAATATACACACACATTTCATTTTTGTATTGATTTTAAATAACTACCATTATACTTCCATTTTTAACTAAACTTGATTTTCATCTGTACTTTAAAATAGCACTGCATCATATGTTACCAATATTTTAGATTAAAGAGGTAAAAATTTAATGTTATTCTTCCATTTTCAACCGTCTTTCATTTATTTTAAACTCTTCCTTTGTTGAAATAATTAGAATTAATGATAATGTATTTGTTTTTTTAATTAAAATTTTTTTAAAAAAATACATATTTTATTGATTTCAGAGAGAGGAAGGGAGAGGGAGAGAGAGATAGAAACATCAATGACGAGAGTCATTGATCGGCTGCCTCCTGCATGCCTCCTACAGGGAATCGAGCCCGCAACCGGGCATGTGCCCTGACCCGGAATCCACCCATGACCTTATGGTTCATAGGCTGATGCTCAACCACTGAGCCACACCATCCAGGCTGTATTTGATTTTTAAAATAAATTTGACCTTCATACTACAGAGGAACTTAAGTCCAGTAAACATTTCAGTATTAGGTTCTATAGTCACAATGGAGAATTACACTTATGCTAAGACATGTTAGGAGCATGAAAAAAATCTCTGAACATCATTTTCTATTTCACTGCTCTCATCTAATTTTTATTCAACATCAGTAGACTTGGCCCCTTATCTCAGATTTCCTTCAAAACTCCCCCACGATATCATGCCTTCTGGGACATCTTCTTTGATATTCCAGGCTGATTTAGATAACTATGCACATGGGTTACCTTTTTCAACCTTTTTCAAACCATATAATCACATCACATAGGTAAAATCCCACTCTATACAATGCCATACCCATTTGCACCCCCAGAACTTAGGATGATGCTAAATGACACATAGTGGGGGCTTAATAATATTAAACCACACTACTGATCTCTAGTTCCACCCTGCTGCCTCCACATGACTAAACCAGTAAACAGAAATTAGTTGGCAACTTCACTTTAGAGTTAATAAATTTCAGTTTCAAGGAATTTCCTTGTATCATGGATGAGTCTACATAGCACCGTGAACAAGATTTAAGGGCCATCCAGTATAGTATCACAAGACTCTGAGCCTCACCAAGTTCAATACTCATACAGCCCAGGGTCAGAGATAAACCATGCACCCTGCAGTCAAAGTCACTGCACAGCCAGGCCCTGTGATCAGGGATGGCAGGAGCACTGTCCCTAATGACCACGGGGAAAGGACTAACTATACTCTTAGTGGGCAGAGACACAATTTCTGGAAAATCAGTCACAGGCTTTTATTCTTCAACAGCTAAGAATGAATCCACAACAGTTCCAGGTCCCTTCAGACAAACGACATAATTAGTCCCACTCGCACACATGCTGACCCTTTATGTACATGACCAACTCTCCCTGCTTCCTTCTAGCAAACTCCTTTGAACTTGTTCAAATAACTATACCTCTGAGAAGACTTCCCACCACTTCCAGGAGAAGACTCTGCCACTTTGTCTTCTGTACAGCCATCACATTTTGTACAAACCACTACTAATATAGGACTTTTTAACACTTTTTAAAAATTACCTCTTAAAAATTAACTTTTATCAAAGTTGTAGCTGTGGTTAAGTTATATACTGCTTTCCATGTTCCATTAACTGGGTGGCTTTCAACAACAGAAATTTATTTTCATAGTTCTGAAAGCTAGAAGTCCAAAATCAGAGTGTTAACAGGGCCATGCTCTCCCTGAAGGCTCTAGGGGGGAATCTGTTGCATGCCTTTCTCGTGGCTTCTAATGCTGCCAGCAATCTCTGGTGCTCCTTGGCTTACAGATGCACCACTCCAATATCTGCCTTCACTGTCATATGACATTCCCTTTGTGTTTCTCCTTTCTGTGTCTCTTCTCTTCTTATGAGGACACTAGTCACATTGGATTTAGGGCCCACCCAACTCCAATAATCATCATCTTAACTTGATTCTATCTGTAAAAATCCTATTTCCAAATCAGGTCACACTCACAGGTACTGGTGGTTAGGATTTCAACATACCTTTTGAGGAGAGAGGGCACAATTCAACCCATAACTTCTATCTTAACTTACTGATCTGCACAACACTCCTATGAGATATTATCATCCCTATTTTACAAATAAGAAAACTAAAGCTCAAGGTCAAAAAAATTTGCTCAAGGTCACACAGTCAGTAAATGGCAGAGCAAGAATTTAAACCCTAGTTAGTAGGCTTCAGAATCTAATCACCAACACTGTCTCTACACGCAGCAAATAGTTTAAGAGGTCAAATCAGCTATAAGACTTATAACAACAAAATAGCAGCTATTTTATACACTCCTCCCCAAAACACACACACACACACACACACACACACACACACACACACACACACTAATAACTGGCCCACTACCCAGTGACAACCACTTTCAGTTTTTTTTCTGGTGCATATCTCCATATTTCGAGTAACAAGTGTATGCTGCCTATTTTTAATTCACCAGTTTCAGATATCTACTGGGGGTTTTTTAATGGTACATGAGGATTTTTAGCTCATGTACTTCTCTCCATTATTTCAATATAATTATATATAAATTCTTGATTAAATCTATATTAATAGTTTGCATCATTATATCTTTAAATGTTATTCACTGCTGAGCCACATAATATGCTATAAATGTGTTTCCTTTCTTATACTTTTCTTATTCAGTTCATAATTAATTTATTTTTTTACTTACAGAATTTTCTCTAATCATTTACCTCTTACTATACCCTTTAACAACTCTGAAAAGATCCTCCTCAATATAATTTTGCATGTGGTCAAAACTGCAAGATCATCTATACTTTTCGTGTTTTTCTTGTAGGCCTCTACTTACCAATTCGGGGATGTCTTTTACTTTCAGAGGAACTTGGATTAAACCCAAATGAGTCCTGAAACTAAGAGAATCACCATTTTCATAATTTGGGTTGCGAAGATTAATTAATACCTTTAAAAACAAATCCAACAAAATTGATTAGTTTTTTGGGGGGAATGTTTTATAGAATGTTTACACTTATAAAAATGGAAATGATATTCTTGGTGTATCACCACAAAATTTAAACTATTTGGGGTTATGCATATACTTCAATAACATTCTAAAATACTGTAAAATTGTACTAAAATGTTACAGAACCATAAAAGATGTTTTTCATTCGGATGGCTTAATACTCTAACCGATGATCCACCATTTAAACTAAAAATTTAAGATTTAATGATAAAGGAAACTTTTTGATGGTAAGAAAAAATAAAAATTGTTTGATTATAATAATTTACCAGGGAAGGTGATAGAAGAATAAAAATTGCTTGATTGTAATATTTACCAGGGAAAATTTTAGAACCAACTCTAAGCCTTTTAAAAGCAAATACTGACAATGTTTTTAGCATGACACTGAGGTAATATTGGAGGGTATCGCCTCTAAACCAAACCCACATGGAAAAACAACAGAAATTTCAGAAGCCAAGCTAACAAGAAAGACAATTTATATACTTTTCAAAATTAACCAAAGTTCATAGAAATTTGCATATCATTTAATCTAGGAATCTAACTTCTAGGAGTATAGTTGTGGAAATAATTTAAAATGTTTGCAAAAATAGTGCAGAAAGAATATTAATGAAGTGTTTATAATGGAAAAACATATAACAACTTAAGACACCCATGAGAGGGAATCACTTAAATAAATAATGATCGATTCACAAAAAAATTACAGTGTAATAAGTAATGTAGGTAACATGAAAAAAATGTTCACAATATATGTTTTTAAAAATTGTAATTATAGTGTTTATTGCTGTATGATGGTATTTATGAGTCATTTTTGTTTAAAATTTTCTTCTTATGTATGTTTTCTTATTTTTCTATCAATTAACATTCATTTGGGGGAAAGGATAATGATAATTCTTTTTTTTTTTTTAAATATATCTTTATTGATTTCAGAGAGAGGGAAGGAGAGGAAGAGAGAGAGACAGAAACATCAATGATGAGAGAGTCACCAATCAAGCCCGCAACCCGGGTATGTGCCCTGGCCGGGAATCGAACCCCGAATGCCTGGATCCTAGGTCAACGCTCAACCGCTGAGCCACGCCCGGCCGGGCAAGAATAAAAATAATTCTAAAAAATATTTTAAAGTTGAAACTCTTGAGGGAATGAAACCATCAGGAATACAGTGAAGGAGATTATGATGACAGAAACACTATCATATCAGAGGAAGGCATTAATGAACTGATAACTAATGGCTGATAAAATGGAATGTGCTATAATACTAAAAGTTTCATAAAATTGAAACACTAAATTGAAACTGAAACTATCAAAGGTATTTGTTTAAAAAAAAAAGATTTAGCAAAGAATCAACAGTGTTAAATATAGACTAATAGAGAACAGCATGATTTTATCCTAATTATACAAATACTGCATGGGAAACTCACAAATACAGACTAGGAAAAAAGGATCTATAAAAACTACATTGGAAACTCACAAACAAAGACTAGAAAAAGAATCTTTGAATACAGGGGTAACAGGAAAGAGAAAATATTAGAAATGCACAAACTATAACTAAGGAAATAATTATAGAAAATGTTCATTAAAGAAGAATCTCAGCACGGATAATAAAAGCATCAAATCAGCAACAGTTCCTAAGGAAACGGAATGTCTGACTATTAGGAGCAAACATAGTTAAAGATAACTATATATAAATTACATGAAATTTTAGCCCTCAGTGCCAGAAAAAGAAAGCTCGAAAGCTTTAATAAGCTAAGAGGAATATGCCATCACTATAAAGGCAGTTTCTGACCAACCTAACTTCTCTTTAAAGCTAAAAGGAAACTATTTAGAACTCCAAAAGGCCTGAAAAAAATTCTAACAATGTTTAATGCTGGCAAACTGGTATCAGAGACAACAGGTTCAGAAAAGAGATAAAATTAAAATGTGAAAGATTCATTCATTCACTCATTCATTCAACAACTATTTATTGAGCAAGTATATGCTAAGCATTGTTCTACCTGTTGGAGACACAGAGCAGTTAAAGATAGGATTAACTTGCAGCTGATTATCTATACATGCCCACCACCAGGGATACCTGAGAGTCTGGTCAAGATGGGGCAGAATGTACCAACCTGTCATCTGTAATGTGCCATTTAATGGCCCCTGTGTTCACACTGTTTATTGCCTGGACTACTTTCTAGAGAACAAGGAGGTATTGAATAAAAACGGAAAAGATTCCCTGAGCACCTATATGTGCCAGCAGCAGGCCACATGATTTATAGTTACTATTTTTAAACAAAAATCTTCCTAATTGACTTACTTGCCTCTAATTTTTCTACATTCCAATGTATTTTTCAAGAGCAATTTCCAAACACAGATTTGATCATGTCACTCCACTGCTCCACTGGCTCAGGAGCTGTTTACATGGTGATTCCTATGACTGGAGATATTCTTGTATCATTTCTTTCACATTTCCCCTCATTAACATACATACATGCAACCAACAGAACTTACCTCAAGAAAATCTTTAGGTGCATAAACCGGTCGGAAAAGGCTTAAATCTAGAATTAAGATGGCAGATTAAAAAAAAATTTCAGTTAACATATTACACAAATGTTTATTAATAATAAATGTTAACGACTCTTGTATATGTTGCTGTGCAGCTATATTACTTCAAACATTAGTGGAGTATTGTTTGCCGTACATTGTATTAAGTATTGGGAACACAAAAATAAAAAGATAGTCCCTCCCCCTTGACAGCCTAGATGACAATTTCTGAAAGAAACTGAGAGTCTCTCTTTTATAAATTTGTAATAGATTATTTATAACTGAAAAAACAATGTCAATATAAAAGTCCTGAACTTCTGTAAAGCACTGCTTCCTATGTTACAGCATTTAGCACTTATTTCTTGCCCAGTCCCCCACAATTATTTTTAAGGAGTAGTGAGCGATTATGTACATGTCTACTTATGCAATTATATATATCTGTTTATCTCAGTAAATTATATATAGTTGTCACTCATTATATGTTTATAAAATTGACTCCATTTTAAAAAGTATTTATTTATTTATTTGTTTCTTTATCTTTATTGTTGAAAATATTACAGATGTCCCCTTTTGATCCCCATTGATCCCCTCCGCCCCGCATCCACCCCATCCCCAGGCCTTCCCCAGACCAGTGTCTGTGTCCATGGGTTATGCTTATAAACATGTAAGTTCTTTGATTAATCTCTCCCCGCCCATTCCTTCCCCCTAAATATTAAAATGATTCAAAAATAAGTTCTTAGAAACATTTTAGAAGTCTTAAAACTTTTCACCATTTAACCTATCTTTAACATCTCAACAGAATTGAAGCTGGAAAAATATTTACCTTAACTATGAGTCTAAGAAATCTATGAATGATTTAATTTACTCTTTTATCAAAATATTTTCAAATGGCTGCTTTAAAAAGAGGATAAGTGATTAAAATGGCCTCAAAATAATAGAGAACACTGACCAAAGTTAGAAATTTTCAAACTGCCAAGCATACAAAACAGATGACAGTAAATTAGTGGGAAGGGAGTACTGTTATCTGTCCAAAAGTACTATTAATATTATTCTGGACCCACAATCAAGATGGCAATTTTTCCCACTACCACATTTTGAAAAAAGTTCTTCATATACCTGGTTCATCAGTTCCCATTTCATTCCATTTATTGAGAAGTTCTTTCTGTTCTCCAACTGGCCTCTAAAAAAGGCAATTTAAAAATTGGTTTCATTTTGTGAAGTTTAGCAATGCAGCTGAAAAATAAGAATCAATAACTTACATGAAAGTTTAAATAAGCTACTATAACATAAGAAAAAGTAATTTCATTACACATAAACTTTTCTGGAATGACAAATTATTATTATTTAACTATTGTATCTAGTTTCAATGGCTCAGCTAATGAGTCCAAGAAAAGAAAGTAAATAATCTGTACTGGCCAGTCAATTTCACACAACAAAACTGCTCCTCAGCCACATACTACACCTCTTACCCCATCCAGCAATCTCATAAATACATCGCAAAGGGGGCTGGCCAAGAGACTGTAGCATCACCTTCCCATATGAAACACAACATATTACACAATACTACATATTTCAACAGTTTTTAATATAAATTCATCTGTTTTAACACCGTCCTTCTGGTGTCTTCAGTGACTTGTCCTTGGATATTATCCAAAGTGCATCCACTGCATTCTGTTCAGCAGCAGGGACTCAACAGCAGGTAGGGAGAGAAAGTGAACAGAAACTCGTCCTTTCCTATTGTGAGCAGTGTTAAAGAATCCAGAACATTCCTCAAGGAGAGAACATTCCTCTTCTCTCCTTTTTCATCTCTCCCCCTTCAAAGCCCGGACTGACAGATAAATGTTGAGTATTAGATCGAAGTAAAGCTAATACCATTCAATCTAAATAGTTTTGCAGAGAGAACAAATTGTTCTTTTCATTGATGATATTAATACTGAAAGATGGCACCATATTGGCTATCACAAGATGATAGTATGTCTGAACTCCATCTCTAATTCGAAAATATGGCTATTGTGCTAATTTTAGCCAAAAAGTAATGAGTCTACATGTAAATGAAATCTTTAAAGTACACCCATAACCTTTATAGCCAAATTTCTAAGTAATCTATAGTGTAGATTCTATACTTTATTTCTGTTTATTCTCAAGTTATAGGTTTATTACAAAAAGCATTACAGTATACATAATAGAAATCTATACAGAACACATCTACATAATTAGTCTTCTTTAGGCTTTTTTCAAAACAAACTGATATACATTAAAAAAAGATAAATCTTCCTAAGTTATAACTTCATGATACTTCCTAGGGCTTACCTTTCGTGCCAATGGGATACTCAGTTCAGTGCACATACTATTTAAACTCTTCAAAATTCTTTTTTCCCAACTTCCCTGAAACATAAAGAACAATCTATTATTGATTCCGGTTAACAATACTGAAACTGATTTTAAAAAACTGGTAAAAAAAAAATTAAAGATATTATGCACTATATAGAAATGGCGAGGTTGGTTAGTCATACATTAGTTCAGTCAACAAATATTGATTACTGCCTACTACCCTTAGTGCTGTGAATTAAGCCATAAATTACAGAAAGTTTCAGTACTCATAGAACTGACATTCTAGTGGAGGATGGGAATGCGGAGAGATAAAAAATCAATGTCATATAGTGATACGCATTATAAGAAAAAATAGCAGATAATAAAAAGGTAAATTAAATTTTAGCATTTTATAAATGATTAATACTCAGGAATAGCGTGAATGACCTGGTAAAAAGTAAAATTTTACAGAAATCATTATATTGTCATTTTTCCAAACATGACTTTTCGCCCCTAAATACTTTAGTTTAAATGTTCTAAGAATAAGAACCTTCTCCTACATAACCACAAAACCACTATCACACCTAAAAAATTAATGATAATATTTCATATCATCTAATATTTAGTCCATGTTCAAAATTTTCCAGTTGCCCCCAAAATGTCTTTTGTAGTTTTTAAAAAATCCATGTATTACATTTAAAAATTCATGCATTACATTACATGTGATTGTTATGTTTCTTTCAATGTAGCTTATTCTAGAGACTCTGTCATTTTTTTCCATGATATTGATTTTTTTGAGGAGGCCAAGAGAGTTATATTTGAGAATGTGTCACAATCTGGATTTGCCTTACTGCTTTTCACAGTATTGATTACCCAATTCTCTATCCCCTACATTTCTTATAAATTTGAAATAAGGTAATTTAATAGTCATAGATTGATTATTGATATATATCATATTTTAGTAAACTATTCTTTTTAATGCCAAGATAAAATATCATACTTTTTTTACTTTATACTAAAATATGCCTAAAGGCTACTTCTGATTTACTGAAACCAAAATAAAATAATACCAAAGTTCCAAAATTTAGACCAAGTGAGAAAAGGAGAGAACTATATATTACATTATTCAAAAAGGACAGTTATAACCAGTTAGTAAAAGTAGAATAATATCTCCTTTATGTAGTTTAAGACGTAAAGTCCTTTGAACAGTGACATAATGATAATCGTCATTCAAGCACTGATAGCTGTTACTATAGCTATCATTACACACAGCTTCTTCTCTAACACACATTTAAATCCCTTGCTCTCTTCACCTGGAATATACTCTCCATGCTCTACTTCGGTCCCCAGCATACTTATTCCCACTTTATCTGGATAAATCTTACTCACCTTTCAGGTCCTCACCTCTACTAGGCCTTCTCTTACCGGGTCCCCCCGCCAGTGGGCATTAGGTGCCTATTGCTCCACTCCCTCACTCTCACGGCACGTTATCACACGTTATCCAGCACATAACAGATGCTCAATAACTGAACAGATTTCTACTCTAAGTAATGTAAGCATAAAGCCCACTAAAATCTCAAACATAAGGCCATTCAAAATAGAATAACACTTCTGGAATGACACCTTAACAAGATATTCTAAAACATATTTGTAAATTCATCCTTTAAAAATTTATTTTGGCAAAAACATCTTTATTTAGGTGTTTTCTATAAAGTACAATTTTCAATTATTAATCATAGTTCTAAATAAATATCCCACTATACCAAATATTTCAATTTATATTTATCACTAGATGTCAGATATACAGAGAAAATAGTTTTAAGTTACACAGAAAAGAAATCAAACATCAGGCAAAAGTATTTTGAATGAAAAAAGTTTAGGAAAGAGATGTATATAATTTACATGGTTTACATATATTGTTTTATTAATCCTGTGACATATGTCTCATTACCTTCATTTTGTTAATAAGGAAACTTTTAGAAAGAATGCAGGAGAATAGAATGAAAAAAATATTAGGAATGAAGCAATGATATAAAGAACATAATAAACTGATGAACAAAATAGATCCAGTGACATAGAAGCATGGAACAGGCTGACGAATTCCAGAGGGAAGGTGTGGGGGGCGGGTGGGAGAGATTAACCAAAGAATTTATATGCATAAATGCATAACCCATGGACACAGACAACAGTGGGGTGAAGGCCTGGAGGAGGAGATGGGGTGGGGTGAAGGGGGTCAATGGGGTAAAAAAAGGGACTTCTGTAATACTTTCAACAATAAAGAAAAATTTCTTAAAAAGAATGAAGCAATGTTGAACAAATCTTTATCCACTTATTTTTTTCTGGACTCCACAACTAAAGCAGAATCTTAGAAATAACCCAGAAGAGAAGAAAAAACATGACTGAAAAGTGAAGGGAGGCCCGGCTGGTGTTGCTCAGTGGTTGAGCGCTGACCCATGAAACAAGAGGTCACGGGTAGATTCCCCATAAAGGCACATGCCCGGGTTGTGGGCTCAACCCCCAACAGGTGGCGTGTAGGAGGCAGCAGATTGATGTTTCTCTCTCATCAATGTTTCTATCCCTCTATCCCTCTCCCTTCTCTCTTTAAAATAAATAAAAACATACAAAAACTTTTTTAAAATTGAAGAGAAGAAAGAGGAAAAGTATGTTCAATTTTTTAAAAATGGGATTTTTGTGGCTAGAACAGGAAAAAATGAGGTATAGTAGCTGGGTTCTCAAATAATAAAAAGACAATGATCCAACAACTATTTACCAGGTATCTATTAAACACATGCTAGTAAAGATGAATAAAATGGAATCCCTGTCCCCAGAAACATATCACTTCTGTGCTGGGGGGTGGGGCGGGTAAGACACATTCACAAATAATATGGGACAGGTTCAAAAAGTGTCAAAGGGCTGTATCAGTCCCTATGTCATAACCACAGAAAGAACACAAAAGAACGAGCAGACAGAGGAAGCCAGATATACCAAAACTTCTAGTTGTACTAGAACACACACCACTTCCTTTAAAATCCTAAAAATAATGAAAGAAAAGTCCTCCTAGTGGTTCGTCGTCTTCTCCAGCCCCCGTTCCATATTTATGACACAATGACAAGGTTGGCAAGGCTTTTTCAAGCTACCCCTTGCAAGAACTTCAGTCAGATGGTTAGAGAAGTCATTTCCATAGACATCAGAAACAGAAAGAGAATTTCCTGACAGCAAGGGGAGTCCAAGATGAAGAAAGTGGCTGCTTATCAGGTGGGTCATCTTTCAGGTTCCCTCAAGGACTCTAATCTCAATTTGGTGGTATTTACTCATTCCTTTGTTCACTCACTGACTAACATATATTGAATGCTTTCTATATGCCATGCACAATACTAGGACCAGTGGATAAATGTTAGAAGGAGCCTATGACTGTTTACTGTAAGAAAGAAACTCGGCAAGTGGAATGACTTAACCAAAATGGCTTAAGTCAGTGACATTGTGATTTCCCTGTTTCCAGAAGTACTTGAGCAAAAGGAGATAAACTCCAGGGGTTAGACTGGATAAACCTGAAGGTCCACTTTAGCTCCAGTTTTATAGATAATTTTTCTCAGGTTCTATTTGTAGAAGTGACCAAATAAGCCCTAAGTCTCAAAAGGAAATGCTCAAAAGAGAAATCATAGTTATGTGTATGCTATTATTTAAACAAAAATTTCAATATACACTTAGCACCCAAAAAGAGTGGAAGTAGCAAATAAGTTCTTGAAAAATGACAGTGTACTAATACCCTCCCCCAAAAGTAAGTGATGTTTTCTACCCAAAGGCTTATAAAATAAGTAAAACTTTAAAATGTTACTTAGAAGGAAAATGAACAGCCTTTTACATTTGAAATGTTTAAATAGGAAGACATTACCTTTTGCCCAAACTCATATCCTCGCCAAATGAAATTACTGTTGCCTTCAAATCAGTTTCCCTAATAATTGGGATGTATGATATTAACAAAGGATTTCAATAGTTTTATAAATAAGGTAATTTCTAAGCCATGAGAGGCAAAGATTTATAAAAGAATCACAATTGTATAGAAATCTTTAAATGGGTATTTGCTATCACCTTGCTACATTTTTATAACAATGGAAATAAATAAGAAGTCTTTAAAAACTGTATAACAAATATATGGTATGTAAAAAAAACCTTTAAGTTATAAAATTAAAAAGCTATTTTCTTCACTCTGACAAAAAATAAAGTAAAACAAAATAAACATAACTCAGCTACCTAATGGGAAAAGATTTTAATAATTCTTCTTTGATTACAAATGTAATACATTTATTTAAGATAATTTGGAAAACAGAATATGTGAACAATAAAATAACTAAACATCCACAAATTTCCATCAGCCAAAAGTAACCACTATTAACATTTCATTCTCTTCTTTCATTTTTTTCTACGTACATAAGTATATATATGTATGAGATGTATATGTGTATGCATATACACACTCATGTACATAGTTAAAGTGGAAATATATTGTTACATATTTTGATTCTTCCATTTAAGATTACATTGAATGCACTTTCTTATTTCGTAATATTTCTTTGAAAATGATATTTTTGATGCCTGTGTAACACTGTCTTTTGGAAATGCCATGTTATATTTCAGCAAGCCCTATTGCTATTCTTTAGATTCTTCTAATTTTTTTACTCTTATCATGAACACAAATTTCTATGTTTCTCTGATTCTTTCCTTCAGATAAGGTTCTAGATGTATAATTATACTAGGAAAAGGGGTATAAGTATTTTTCAGGAGGGAACATTTTCTTTTTTGTTGCTGTTGTTCATTCAATTCATTCATCATTTTAAGTAACATCTGCTGAGCATCTACTATGTGCCAGTCACTGTGCCAGATGCTGGAGATACAGCTGTAAAAAGAGAGACACTGATCCTGTTTCACAGAGACTACAGAATCTAGGTAGCAATACAAACAACCCAAGTATTGTGGTAGGAAGTACAGGGTGCTTCCCATGTGGAAGACTGGAGAAAAGGACCTGAGAATCTGAGATCTGGGGATCAGAGAGCCTTCCAAAAGAAACTACCATCTAACCTGATACCTGAAGAATGTGCGTAAGTTGGCCAAAAATACGTGGGATTTGTGGGGAGACAGTTTCAGGTACAAGCAACCTCATGAGCAATGGTTCTGCTGGAACAACTGAGAGAGATCAAGGGGGGTTAGACAGAGAGAATGTATATGTGTGTGGAAGTGGGGAGGGGAGTGGCAGGATGCGGAGGGACAGTGTGAGAAGGTAAGCGATGAGACTTGAACTGTAATCTCTAGATACCTCAGTATTTCTTATCTGCAAGACAGTTTTCAAAACTATATTATTTCATGGTGCTCAATATAGCATTTGTAAAGAAACGTGGTTTAAAATTAAATATCACTCTAAAATCCTGGCAGGAAGGTGGACCTGGCTGACCAGAGGCAAAGGATAGTTTAGAGTTAGGGACACATGACAGGAGTTATTTTATTAACAGATTTTTACAGTTTTTCTGTTTAAATTATTTTATTTTTATTATTTTAAAGTTATTTTTAGCTGTTTTCAGACCATTTTAGATTTCAGGTTCACTTGAGTTCCACAACAGAACACAATTAGTACATAACAGCCTGCTGTGAGAACAAATATATTTCACATACACTATCAGCAACACTGGCTTCAAAAGCCAAAATTTTAAGGGGAGAGTGTGTCAGTTCATTCCCATTTCATTCCTTTAATATCACAGAGCAGGAGGAATTTCTATCATATTTTAAATTTCAGATGGCATGGGATATAATATTTTTTTCTACTCAACATTTTCAGGATTGCTTTAAATAGGTATGATCCTTGGTTACTGAAAGTAAAAAGGAAGAGTATGTAAATACTATTCACATCACTTCATTGGTGCTTACCTAGTTTTTCATACAGTGAGTAATGTATACTCCTGACACCAAGAAGGATCTTGCACTCTGAGTTATATAACCTGGCATGGAAAAATAAAAAGTAAACAGTAGCCAACCTGTGCTTTCCTCATGTACACCAAAGGTTCCTTAAGATGTTCAGGAGGTGCTGCAGGATGACTAGGTAAAGGAAACCTAGGGACAAAAAGAGGCAGCTAAATATTGTACAATACTCTTGATAATTAATTAATTCTCTCGGTTAAAAATTACTTACCTCTATAGCCCATGTTATGAATGAAACAGAATGCTTATTAGCAGTATATGTGTTGACACAAGATGCAACAGCCTAACAAAACTTTAATTCTTACCCTACCAGTACTGTAGCTTAGATTAGCAATTTAATTACTTGTCAAATTGCATAATAATCTGAATTCATAAATTGAGGTAATTTAAAAATTATTTGGCTCTGTAAATGCTTATGAAAACTGTCATAACTGTTCAATTTAACACAAAAATATAACATTTAGAGGAATTTTTTAAGTTGAAAAAAATCCATTGACTTACTAACATATAAACTCTTTCCTTTCCCCCAGTTTCCTTTTCCATATGATTACACATGTTTACGCAGTTGAAATGATAATGTAAATATCTATTGGAATAGCCTTGTTTTAATATATAATACATAAATTCACAAATTTAATAAAATTTTTAAGTTTTAATGCCTTATGAATTCTTTCTGCTTTCTAAGTAACTTTCCATTTATATTCAGAATGTACTGATTTTATTAAGAAAACACTTATTTATTCAGCAAGTGTTTGAGCCGTTCTAGGTACTAAGCAAATGGTGGCAATGAAGACAACATCCCTGTTCTCATATACCTGACGTTCTAGTAAAGACAGTCAAAAATTACAAAAGCAAATAAGTACATAGGATAATACCAGATAGTAATAAGTGTCATGAGAAAATGAGAGCAGGGAAATGAGATGGAAATGATTCGGAAGGATAAGAAAGGCTTGAGGGGAGCTAATATTTGAATTGAGACATGAGTGAGAAACAGCCGCCTACCATAAAAGATCTGGGTGAAGACTACTGCTGGCAAAGGGAAAGCAAGCATGAGACCCTGGGGTGGAAACATCTGGAATGCTTAAAATCAGAAAAAGCCAGAGTGGTTGGAATATAATGATCGAGGCACAAAGTGACATGAGATCACACAGAAGGTAATGGGGAAACATGATAGTTCAGCATTTACTCCAACCTCTTTCACAAAAAACATATAACTCCTATTGAAGTTAGTTATACGACCTGTACCTACAGCAAAGGAACCATGTTCCAATAATCAAGAACCATATACTGAATTCTCAAAAAATTCCTCATCCAAAGTGGGGCATAGGCACGTGAAGGGTTAATGACATACCAAGCTACTTGTACCTATGCCAGAACCTAAGTGTAAGAGGCTCAAATGCTCATAACAAACATTTCTAGAATAGAAAAAAAGGAGCCTATCCGATGGAATTTAAAGGCAGTTTCACTTACTGATTACTTCTAGCTAGCTGTTTTTCCCACTAAAATTACATTCCATGTACCTAAAGAAATCACCTTTCACAAAGGAAAAAATGATAATCTCTAGATACCTCGGTTTTCTTATATGCAAGATAGTTTTAAAAACTATACTATTTCCTGGTGCTCAATATATCATTTGTAAAGGGACATGTGGTTTAGAATTAAATATCACTCTAACATCCTTCCATTTTAATAGTAATTACAGTATTTCTAAATTTAATAAAACTTAGAAATTTAGGATTGAAATTGAGCACACTTACTGAGGAGAGAGCTCTGTCAGACAGGAACAACATACAGAAAGCTGTGCACTGTTCTTGACCCCTTCCTCTTCCTGTCCCCTAAGTCCCCCCAAATACTTCTCAGCTTCTTCTGCCCCACTGACACTATCTTCGGGAACCAGCATCTCTGGTCTGCATTCATCCATCAGATTCCCAGCCAGTGTCCCCTTCTCCTACGCTATTTTCAACCTCTTTGCCAGTCTGCCTGGCGGTTAGCTGGGAGCAATGTCTTCCTTCCTCACCAGTGACTGCAATCCCAGAGTCCAGCAGAATGCCTGGCGCATACTGGACAACCAGTACATTGCTGAATGAACAGAATGCAAACATGATCATGTCACTACTCTGCTTAAAATTCTAAACTGACACCCAAATGCTATTAGGATCCAGTCTACAAAGCCTTGAGCACGAAGCACATTCCTGCCTATGTAGCCAACTAGAATCATCCTTGACCACGCCCCTTTCCCCTGTACCATCGGGTCATGAAATATTCAGTAAACTATAAAAGCTAATGTTCTAGATCTACATTTTTTGTAATGACAAATAGCTCTATATACCTCAACGGATGCTGAGGGCAAGTCCACATAAACAAAAAGTTAATTCTTTTGTTTGATGTTCTTAAAAATACCAATTTTGCAAAAAAAAAGTTAATTATGTTTACAAGGGTCGCATATAAACAGAAAAAGGGTAATATCCAAAATGGCAACAATAAAAAGAATGTTGGTAAGCTTCAGTTTTCTGAACTACTAACTTAGGAGAAATACCTTATTCCTTAACTACACTGAATAAAGAAATTTTTAATGTAAAACTTTTGGTGATATAAAAACTCCACCTAGTCATTATTATTTCTCAGGAAAAAAATCATAATTTTTAAAAGCATTACCTAATTTTAAATGCTCTATGAATACTAATGGGAAATAACACAATGAGTATATATAGCAATACTGTATTCAGTACTTACAAAGTAAATATAGCTAAACATAGTATTTCAACAGAGGTAGGAAAAACTCACACACTCAGTTCACTATACACAGCATTCTGAAGTTTCTTCTCCCAACCTGTTTTTTAAAAATAAAATATATACATATATTAGTTTCAAAAGCAACTATACATTACAATTAAATTTGTGTCACTGGAACTGTAGCATCACACTCACTTGTGAAAGAACTTATCAACTGCCAATTGCTGTGTAAAGTATTATAAAGGATTTAGTTCCTTTGCATTCACTCTATCCCTTGGCAAACACTCAGTAGCCAAGTTGTCAATGTTATATTATTTAAGTAAAACTATTGTACCATTTTTTCAAGATGGGAGGAAAAGTTCCTTCTTCTATCATTAAGTTGCTCAACAAATGCTGAAATCTTTAGCTAGTGTACTACGAGCGCTATGAGGACTGTTCCAAGAGAAGGGCAAGAAAGAGCCGGGCACTTGGCAAACATAGACCACAAGTAATCAGTTACAGTGAACTAGTCAGCAAACCTCTGAACAACAGGAGTGGATTATTATAAGGGACCACCAGTCAGACCAGTTATGTTGGCTGCTAACTACTTGAACTTTTCTGGGTAAGTAAACTAACATCTCAGTTTCCAAGTGCAAAGGTTAGAAGAGGGAACTTCTCTTCTTGTTCTAAAAAGAAGTGGGATTTTCTTTTGTTCACTGAAAGGGTAGAAAAGAGGAGGGAAAAGAACTGTAGAAGGAAAAAAGCCACATACACAAAAAGAAAAGACAAGTTGCTTAACTAGGGAGATGTATTTTGATGAGGAAGGTAAACAGTATTTAAAACCAATTCATGTAAAGCACTCATTCCCCCGGTGCCCCTAAATTTTTACAGCATTTTATTGGAATGTCTAAAAGTTCTAATTCTTCCAAAATAGAAACCTACCCAGCCACTGTTTCACAAGTTTCAATGAGTAATTAGATGGCTGGGGACAAAATATTCCCTTGAAATAAAGTATTTCCTTATTTTGCCTTAAAGAATTAGGGAAAAAAAGCAACTTACAAACCTGATGTTTTAAGGAATCTCTTAATATCTTCTTTTAGTGATTCAAGTTTAATCTCAGGTCTCTGAAGACTGGCCTAATTTTAGAAAAAAGAAAAAGTCAGAGGTCAAAAGTAAATCATTTGGGTTGATGTTTAATGCTAATGAAAATTTTAAAAAGGAGTGTCCCAATGTACAAACTATTTAAAAACTCCCCTTTGAGGTCAGAGCACCTGAGAATTCACAGACAAACTCAAAAGAGAGAGGACTTGTTCACCTACTTAAAAGAGGGGATCTGTGATAGTACGCTGTAGTCTACCCAAAATGTAAAAACTTGTAGCTTATAAATATTTAACATCATCTAGGGTTTTTACCTTTTTTTAATCCTCACCTGAGGATATGTTTTTATTGCTTTGGGGGGTGAG